TGTTAAATGATTATCCTCGTTCCGTTCATGTACTGAGTGGTGGGGCGGCTCAGCCGTTGACGATGGCTGCTGTTCCCTGAGCGCCTTCTCTGGGCCAGGGCCTTTTGTGCACTCTGGCTAGATTATCTCCTTTGTCCTCCAGCAGCTCTGGGAAGGAAGTGAGGGCAGCCGTTAATATCTGATGAAGAGGGTGAAGCTCAGAAGGCGGGGTCACCCGGATGCGCTAGTGAGAGGTGGCAGCTGGCACAGGGCTGCGGGGACTCCCCAGTCTTGGCGCCTCTCTGCCCCCTCTCGTTGGTCCTTGATTCAGTGGAATCCAGGTTCCCTTTGGATTCCTCTTGCCATCCTGCCTTACCGTCTCCACGTGCTGGCCAAGCACAGTGACTGACACACAGTAGGCCTGCAGTAAATGTCCAGTGGAAGAATAGTCAGTGTGAACGTGAACTGAGCCAAGAAGCTGCAGTACAGCAATCCCCCCACATCCTCGGTTTTGGGGACCCTTGATCAACTGCGGTCTGAAAATATTACTTACTAAATACGGTAATTTGAGAGAGACAGTGCTGGGGAGGGGGACAGAGAGCATGTAGTCTTCACTCTGGTGTACTCTTAGGATTGTTCTACTTTACTATTAGTTATAGCTGTTAAATTCTTGCTGCACTTAACTGATGAGTGATGAAACTTTCTTTTGGATATGATATGTCCAAGTAGGAGAAAACTTAGTCTATGTAAGGCTTGGTATCCTCCTGCTGCAGGCACCCACAGAATTTAAGGATGACCAGTCACTGTCCTCAAAGGGCCGCACGGCCTTATCAGAGAGGACTGGTCCCGCGTGCCTGTAGAACAGCCCAGGTGCTCACGGGATCCCTGTGCCAGAGTCATGGGCCAGAGGAGGTGGCAGGCTTGGAACTTAAGTTGTGTGCTGGCTGCGTGCAGCTGGGAGCACCAGCAGGGAGGCCAGCCAGCGGTCAGCTGCGAGTCGCAGCGACTGGGCAAGACGGGTGCTCCCCGGGTGCTCCTCGCAGAGGAGGGAGAGGACTTTGCAGGATGAGCAGCTGCAGGGGGAGCAGGAGCAGCTGATCTCCCAGGCTCCTGCTGGGAAGGGAGGTGCACCCAGGAGCTGGGCTCCCGTGAGCTCGCAGCATCCCTGCTTCCCTGTGCCCCCGGGCACCGCTGTGGATGGGCACCACTGCGGATTGGCCCCCGCTGATTCTCACGCACGCTCAGGTGTTGCCCGATGGGCCAGCGAAGCCTCTGTGACACTTGCACGCGCACGTGTGCTCAACATGGAGTGACACCCAAATGGCAGCGTGTGTTTGCATGCATGCGGCGTGTTACCCGAGTGCACGCACACCTGCGTTTGCACACACTTGTGTGGGTCGTCGTGAATGCTGCTACCGCTGCACCCCCAGGGGGCTCTGGGGGCTTTGTACCCTGTTCTGGGTTCATTTCTGGCGTGTCTTTTCTTTTTTAAAGACTTATTTATGCATACAAGAACTGGGGTTCAGGTCAGAGGTGCAGGGGCGGGGGCCAGGTGAGAGGATTCACAGAGACAGAGTGGGAAGCAGAACAGGTGGGTCTACTGAAACAGTGCTGAGGGGAGCAGCAGGGAGACAGGAGAGGTCTGCTGCGCCATGTGGGGCAGCTCCCTGGTCGGGATTGAACTCACGCTGTGTGGCTGGCTGGCAAGAGTGCTGAGACTTAGCTCCTTGTGCAAGCTAGGAGGCCTTATTCTGATGTTTTTAATACAGTGAATGTGAATTTCCTCATTGAAATTTCTTTTTCTCTCTCCCCTTCTTTCTTTTTTTTCCTTAGGTAATGGTAGTGTTGCTCATACACCTGCCTCCCGGGCCCTCCGGAGCACAGGGGCTGGGACATTAGTGCAGTTGCCCTCGAACCAGGGGGTGGGGTTGGGACACAGGCAGAGCAGGTGGTCAGTACATGCCCCACGGCTGCTCCCCTCACCTGGTGGAAGTTTTAAACATTTCAGGGAGCCCGTGAGGCCAGTCCTGTAGGGTTGGTTTCCTAGGGCCGCTCCCCATCCCGCCCACTGCATTTGCCCAGTGTCCGGTGGGCAAGGGTGACCGCTGCCCAAGTTTACCCAGTGAAATGTGCCTGTGTGACTTGAAGGAAAGACCGTTTCTGTGAAACGGCCAGAAGTGCATTCCGAAGTCACGAGCGTGACCTCCCCGGAAGCTCAGCTAATCCAGGTTTTAAAGAGAACTTGGAACAAAGGTGTGATTATGGGATGTGGGAAAGGGCAGGTGCAGCAGGCGTGTGTGGTGCAGCGCCCTGGCTGGAGGAGACCAACCGAGGGAGCCAGCTCCGCCCGCCACTTCTGTTCAGGGGCTCAGAAGGAGCCCCAGGTTCAAAGTGAGCCTGGGTTTGGTGTGGTCGTGGGCTGGCGGAGACCTGCCTTGGGCTGCATCTGGGTTCGCTCGCTCCCGCCCCCTCTAGCTGTTCGCCTGCAGTCCAGAAGCCCAGCCTCCCCACGCTGCCAGCTGGGACTCCATCCGAGCCCCCCTCTGGGGTCTTGAGCATTCTCGGGGATTAAGTGGTGGGATTACCGAGGGCCTTTCCGAGAGTGGTGCTCAGTGCCTGCGCCGTCTCTTACCCCTGCACATCTGGCCTTCTTCCCACTTACGTACTCCCAGGGGCCACGCGCCCATCTCAGCACAGCTCAGGCGCCCGAGACGCACCCCGGGGTCCCGGGACACTTGCCCCTGCTGTGAGTGCTCCATCCTTACATGGGCTGTTGCTCAGGGCCCTTTGAAGAGATGTCAAGCTCTTTGCAGCAGGCACCCCCCGGGCAATCTTGGGGTCGCCTTCTCAGTGACTTTCTCAGTGGGCGGCTCAGTTCCATGATACTTTGCCCCCTTTGTTCTTGGGGAGCTGACTGACATCGGGGTCTTTCCTCATCTTTATCTGAGGGATTTTGTGGACAAAGGCAAACAGACAGAATCCAAAAAAAAAAAAAAAATCCAAACTGTGAAGGTTTATTTGTAGAAGGAAAGTGTTGATTGTTGATGACTTATCTCTCTTGTTTTAATATCTCAATCACTTTCAAGCTGTCAAGGAGCGTGGAGGGAGACGATTCAGAGCAGCTTTTCCTTGACGCAGGACCTGCTGTGTGAGGGGCTTCACACAGGCCAGCCCCCCAGGTCTGCCAGGCAGCACCGTTCTACAGGGGGATTCAGACATCTGAAGTTCCAGGTGTCCAGCTGGGCACCGAAATCCCCACCCTGGCCTGTCTGCTTATAAAGCCCATCATGGCAGATGTGACACCCTCCGCTGTCCCCCAACTTCTCTCCTATCTGTCTCTCTGCTTCTCTTTCGTTCTCCTAAAATTACTGCTGCTGTCCCCTTTGCTGTGTCTGGTCTAGTGAGTGAGACACACTTGTGCGGTGGCCTGCTGCCGGCACCAGCATGCCCCTCACGTGGGGCCGACCTCCAGGTGGGGGTGCGCACCGTGAGGGAAGGCCGCCTTCCACCTGGGCACAGGTGGGGGCAGTGCCCAGGGCAGCTGGTAGGGGAAGGCCACCCCCCATCACGTCGCTCAGCCCCTGGGGGACGCCGTCACTGTCACTCACACGAGGAGCCATCTGGGGACGTGCGTCATGGGCCACACGTGCTCTTGAGTTTTCCTCTAAACATCTTTTTAAATTTAATTTATTAACTTATTTTTATTGCGGTCACGTGCGTTGCGGCACTGTGTATGTTTTAGAGGTGCATGTTCACACCCTTCGGATGCGTTACCTCGCCACATCCAGCCCAGGGCACCCACCTCCCGCAGAGCCTGCGGGGCGTCCCCGGCCTTTATTGCCACCCCACCAGGGCTTCAGTTCTGCAGTCACATTTCTGGGGTTTGTTTCTTTCTGTTGCTTTGTTTTGTTTCCCTGTGTTGCACGCCCGAGTGACATCATCCAGCCCTGGTCCTCTCTGATTTATTTCACTGAGCATAATCCCCTCGAGGCCTGCCCATGTTATCGGAAATGGCAAAATTTAAATTTTCTTGATAGCTCCACTGGGCTCCGCTGTGTGTGGAGGCCGCAGCGCCCAGCCTGTGTCTCTGGCCTCGGGCTCTCGGGCTGTTGGGCGGCCTGGTGCTGGGAAGGGCACGGCGTGAGCCTGGGCGTCCCTTCGGGTTCGTGCATTTGTGTTCTCCGGATGGAAACCTAGGCGACCGTTGGCTGGATCCCACGGCGGATCTATTTTTATTGCCTCAAGAGCCCTCCCCTGTGTTCCACAGGGGCCTGTCTTTCTTGATTGACGCAAGTCCTGGCGAGTTAGTGGCGCAGCACTGAACGTAAACTGTGATTCATCACTCACGACTCCAGCCGGCGTTTGCTGGGCGCCGTTAGGGTTCCTTAGGACTTTTGCAGCCTGGCTGAACCAGATGTCATCGTTTTTTTTTTTAATTTTATTTCATTTATTCATACAGAACTGGGGTACAGGCCAGAGATGCGGAGGGTGAGAGGATTCACCAGACACAGAGTGGGGTACAGAACAGGCAAATCTACGAAGTACACTGCTGAGGGGAGCAGCGGGCGGGTCAGGAGAGGTCTGCCGCGCCATGTGGTCACCTCCGGGGCAGGCGGGAATCGAACTCATGCGGAAGTGGCTTTAGATTCTCAGTGCTGTGCTTTAACCCGCTGCGCCACCAGGGAGGGCCCAGATGTCATCGTTTTTAAAGGGGGTGCTGGCGGCTGTGCCTTGCACAGCTGTACGCAGGGTCGTGCTGTGCGGTGTGGGTGCATGTTGGTGAAGTGGGCAACTGCACACCGCTTACTCCTGGCCGCTCTGGGCTGCTGTCACGGTGATGCCGCTGCCCAGCGTGGACAGGGCCGTGCTTCTTCTCCACGAACCCCAGAGCGTGGGGTTTCATACCTTGTTTTTATTAAAGGTGAGGAAATGTTTTCAAAGAGCCTAGGGAGATACATGCCTTCAGGCAATGGGGTACAGCCTCAGGATCACTCTCTGGTTTATTTGGCTCCCAGTCCCAGGTCACCCCTGTCCCCCAAATGAGGACGGAGTGCTGTGGGAGCCCGTGCTGCAAGACGTGGGAATTGCAGAGCAGCTGTGACACCCAGCCCAGGCTGGGGACACTGAACTCAGCAGACACGCTCTGTCGGCAGGAAGACCCCTCCGTGCCTTTGGGAGCGCCCCGGGCTCACCTCTCCGACCGGGCCGGGCATCTCTGAGAAGTCAAGCCAGCACAGCCAGGGGAGTCGCTGCCCTGAGAAGGTGGGCGCCTCGTGTGGCATCACTGGTGGGGAACCCTGAGCTCCCCGGGCCGAGAGGAAGAGCAGGTGAGGTAAGCCGAGCTGGAGCCGACTGACGGCTGTCGCCCGGGAGAGCTGCCCGTGGCTGGCCGCAGAGGCCTTGCAGTCACATCTGCTGACTTGCCGGATCTAAAATTAACCGCATGACTGATGGCTGCTGTGAGAGAGGGAAAGAGGACACGCACACGCACGCACACGCACATGCACATGCGCAGATCTGGGAGCCTGGAAGCACAGGGAGGATCAGCACGTGGCCGTGCACACACACTGTTGCCAGGCCCTGGGCTGCGTCCGTATCCTTGTGCCCCGTTCACTGTCCAGGGCCACACCCAGCTCAAGGAGCATCCTTTGAGCCTCCCTATATATATATATATTAAAGATTTATTTATTTGTACATACAGAATGGGGTACAGGCCAGAGGCTCAGGGGCGGTGAGAGGCTTCACCAGAGACAGAGCGGGGAGCAGAACAGGCAGATGAGGGGAGGGGAGCAGCGGGCGGGTCAGGAGAGGTCTGCTGTGCCATGCGGTCACCTCCGGGGCAGGCGGAATCGAACTCATGCGGAAGTGGCTTTAGCTTCTCAGTGCTGTGCTTTAACCCGCTGCGCCACCGGGGAGGGCCAAGCCTTTCGATTTTTAAAGATTTATTTAGTTACAAGAACTGGGGTACAGGCCAGAGGGGTGGGGCTTAAGAGGACTCACCAGAGACAGAGTGGACAGCAGAACAGGCAGATCCATTGAAATCCACTGTTGAGGGGACAGCGGAGAGGCAGGAGAGGTCTGCTGTGCCCTGTGGGTCACTCCCTGGCGGGGATCAAACTCCTGCTGCAGTGGCTGCAGAGAGTCTTCACCTTAGCCCTGGGTCAGCAGGGGCGCCTCCCATTTTTCAGGGAAGTTGGTGCAGGAAGAAGCAGTCTGGATGTTTGATAGGGAATAGAAGCAGCCTGCTCTTTTATTATTTTTGCCTACAGAGGAGGCCCACAGGCACAATAGCTGGCTTGGAAATCTTGACAACAAAATGCCTGGGCCTGACCTGAATGCCTGGGGATCAGAGGCCCAGGCAAGAGAAGGCCGTGGTGTCTGTGGGTTTGAGGCACCCCCCAGGTGTGTGGGCTCCATTCCTTAACATCCCCTTGAGCAGGGGCAGCTGGAAGCTGTGGGCTCTCCAGCCTTGAGGGGCATTCTGGTGTCTTCCATATTCTAGCAGACCTGCTTCCACGGAAGAAGCTAAGAAACGAGCTGTTACTGAGCCACACGCTTTAAAAAGGCGCACACACCTGAGTCCGTGTACTTAAGAGTCCTGTCCGGTGAAGCGTCCTGTCCTGTGTGGGGCAATGCCCAGTGGCCATGTGTGAATAGAATAGTGTTTCAGATGCCCCCGGTTGACCCTGTCACCAGCTGCCCATTCTCCCCTGGCCGCTCACGGCACAGGTTAGATCAGCTCGCCCATGTGTTTGTGGCCAGTCGCACACCAGTGGTCTCCCTGGCTCTGACTTGCCCTGGCAATTGCGTAGGAAGGCCCTGACCGCTCTGCACTGACCGCCCTGTCGGTCACTCTCCCTGCTCCCCAGTCCTCCACTGTGTGCGATGTTCATGATGTTGGACGTGTGTCCACGCCTGCTGTTAGGATGAGCCTGCCAGACCTCCGCAGCCATGTTTCTGGGTGAGACTCCACGAGCCACCCGTGTCCAGGGGAGGGGCCATCGGGGCCTGGGGTTGGCAGGTATCTGACTTCCATGGTCCAGCAGTTTCCCGAACTCCCAAACTCAGGTTGTCGGTCTACCCATGTGGACACTGGAGCACCGGGGCATAAGCCAGGCCCAGGTGGGATTTATCTTTTTGGTTTTGGCCAGTCTGTCCCAGAAAGAGCGAGTGCCCTGCAAAGGTCCCTGTAGCAGAGACTGTGGCTGCCTCTGAGAAAGGAGTGTGGCCGGCGGTGTGGCTGGCAGTGGGGTGCCTGCGCCCCGTGCCCTGCATTCTTGCCAGTGGAGCCCGTAGCGGGCAGCCCTGGCCTCGGTCAGGGACCACCGCCTGGCGGCAGTTATGGCCAGCAGACCGTGCAGTAATTTTTCCTCGGGTGACGGAGCTGTAATGTCCCCAACCCAGCAAAACAACCTGGCCGGGGACCTGCCTGTGGGCCTCCATCAATATTTAACAGGCTGTGCCCCCATTCTTCAGGCTGCCCCAGCCGGGGCCAGCGCTGCCCTGAGCTGTTGCAGTGACCACTAGCATCGTCAAGAGATGAATTTGCATCGTGCTACCCTGTTTCGTGTTTGCAAAGTTGTTATTGCCACTCTCGTTGCTAGTAGTGGATGGTGTCATGGTGAACCTCATGGAGGCAGACTGCCTGGCTTTACATCCCTGGTCTGTCACTTTTCTAGCTGTGTGAACTTGGGCAAGTTGCTTAGCAGCTTAGAACCATCTGGTGTCTCATCTTAAAATTGGGTCAAATCAGCCAGGCAGGTGCAGGGTCATTGGGCGGAGCAGTGAGAACTCTGAGCAGGGAGACGCTGACCTGAGAGCCAGTGCTGGCCATTCCCGGGACTTTTCCTGGC